ATGCAGAATATATAAACAATAGACACCAGTTTAAGATTCATTTCATTAATGATTTAAACGAATTAGGTGAAAACGCATCTGCGAGAAATCCCAGAAAAGTGCTTCGAAAATTCACTAACGCGTGTTATCGATTGTCATAACATAAGCCATAACATATCTCTGTTGCGCTTAACATGCACATCTCTTTGCACTCTGATCTTTTTCTAATAAATTGCTAATAATAATAATAATTTCAATCATATCATTTATGCCCATGCTATATGATATAGGCATTGTAGGTTGCTCCACAGATTATTAACCCTCCAAAAGGGTCAAACTGAAATGTTAACATTTCCCACAGTCACGAAAGGGTGGGGAAAAGAGACACAGAAAGGAAGACATTTGTCAATGGGAAAATTTTCCACAGCTAGTTTTGCCTTAAAACGCTGTATTTGGGTGAGCTTTTTAGCATAAAACAGTTAAATTACCTTAAGGCTGATACAATCCAAGCAATAAATTTGACATAGGCATGCTGAAAGTAGTAAAAAAAAGCCCAAGAAAATGGCAAATGGCTCTCGGCTACAATTCAATATGGCGTAAAAAAGAATGACGCTGCGCCACAAAGAGAAGAGCGATAAAGAGAGGCGAAGAAGAGGGAGAGATAGAGAGAGAGAATAATGGAGTGCTGGTGTATATGTACCTATGTACGTGTGGTTGAGTACCCATAAAAGCCTTGTTTGCGTGCTAGTTTTAACTGTTTTTTCGGTGTTCTTGTGTTGGGCGGCACACACACCAGCGCCATTGGCTTTTCACAGGGCGAGAAGTAAGGAAAATAATGTAAGACAGCCACAAATGCTTTGCTTATGAAAACTCTGCGAATTCGCCGCGATCATAGGTGGCTCTCTCTGTTCTTTTGATTGCGAGTCTGGTCTGTCTCCCTCTCTGATTCACGTGGGTTTCCATATGTCTGCCTGTGTGCGTTGATTTATGATTGTATGTAGTGTATCTTAGTCGATTGTTGTCTGCTCTTAGTCGATTTCGATGAGCTTTGGCTTTGCCGGAAGTTTTCTTTTTATCCATACATATATCGCCAATTCCGTCTTGCCCTGCCGTCCGCTTATCGCTGCTTCTGCCTGCCACTGTACTGTGCTTTGCTTGCCTTTCATCTATCCATGTAGCTGCGTGGCGTTTTGTCGGCCATTTCGTTTTCCAATTGCCTTTAGCACAACACACGCACACTCCCGCCTCACAGACAAAGCGTGTGTGAGTTTTTCTGTAAGTAGATGTGTCTCGCGGAGCGTACAAATAATTTCTAGGTGAAAAGAATGGGTGGGCGTACTGCAAAAAGCCTTACAGACATGTATTCCACATGGAAACCACACTCTTTATCATGTATAGCACTTATTTGAACAAATTGAATGGAAAACCAAATCATTTATGCAAAGGATCATCGTTAAAAAGTGATTAAAAATGGAAAAAGGGAGAAAATTACAGGAAATGGGACTGAAAGTGCCCATCCCAGACAGGACAATCGATCTAAGCGCTCGTTTGTCGTGGTCAATGTGACTAATTGATGATGTCATTGCATAAAAGCCAGGGGGCGGTGAATACCATCAAGAACTGGCGTGTCCTCAATCGCCGCCATCCTGCCTTTCACTTGACCCAGTTCGAGGGAAAGCCATTTTCCACGACTTATACAGTTCATACATATGTATGTATGTACATATATTATGTACATTATATGCATGCGGCCAGCACAAGCAAATGACATTGTTAACGAAAACGGCTCGGCTCTCTCTTTCTCCTCATTCGGTGCATAATATCGCGATGCAAAGCTATTGATTTTCCCTTTGCCCTTCATTGGCCGCCAAGTGTCGCCGTTTATTTGCCAATTAATTTTGACTTTTACCCAGCTACCGCACTCCACTCCACTCCATTCCTGCTATTTTGTCCGATGACTGAAAAAGAAGGGGGTAAATACTATGTTCTGACGGCAACAGACGCAGGACGCCACCTGACACTTGCAGGATTCCCTTGCGCCTGTTACGCACATGTATTCGTGCACGTCTTCCGCTGCCAACACTCCCCACCCCCTGGGATGGACAGGATATGAAAAAAACCTGGGACTCAGACGCTTTGCAAACAAAAAGATCACTTCAACAGAACAGCGTAGCATCGGATGTGGGTGGTGAAGATCGGAGGGAGTTTGGTCGGACGAAAACAAGGAATCTGCAGAGGATCGAGAAAATCAATCGGATCTATTGAAAAGTTCGCTTTTTTCGCTAACACACTGCCGACACACACTGATCCGAGTCCTTTTCCGTCGGAACAAAAGACGAAGCAGCCGTCACGGCGAGATATGTAAGATGAGAGCCAGACGGCGAGAGCGAGAGAGGCCAACAAACATTTGGCAAATATAACAGACAGCCGGTCGCGCTTAGGTCGAAACTGAATGCCCTGCAATGGCACGATCATAGAACGAATAATATATGTATGTACATAACTAGCCACGCATATGGGAACGGTAAAATGTAGAAGTTATGAATCACTGTATATGCGTGTATATTTATATAGGTATATTGTGTATCAACAGTCATTCATCCCTTGTACGTTGAGAACAGTTTAAGGCGAAAGAAGAGTATCTGCTAGTGGGTGTTGCAGACGGCAATTGCCAACTAGCGGCGGCGAGGCGAATATATGATTTTCGCCGCCATCGACATCGTCGGCGGGCCACTCGCTGCACGACGCTCTCTTGCGGCTCTCTGCGCTGCCTCGTTATTTCGCTTCGCACCGTGTTTGCGTTCACAACTCATTCGGTTCGGGTTCTGCATTTTATTTTATTATTATTTTTTTTTGTTTGTTCTGCTCCTGCCTGGGTGCAGTTTCTTCGTAAATCTGCTCATCATAGGAGTTGGCGCCCTCTCTCGCGCCGACAGGCAATGTCGTCGTCGCATCGATTCAGTGAAAATTAATGCGGAAAATTCGCAAATGGACATCTGAACAGAAAGAGCATTAAGTAGGTAAAGTATTCGCGTTTGCGTTTGTGTTTCGTTTGGTTTCGTTTCGTTCGGCTTTCGGGCTCGGTTTCGTTTCGGCTCCCGCTCGGTTTCAATGAAAAAGCAAATGCGAAAAGCAATTCAAAAGTGAAACGAAAGAGACAAGTGAGTGCTGTTCCGTTCGCGCGTCATGCTTGTTGTTGTTGTAGCAAAGAAGAGAACAGATTGAAAAGAAAACAGCAAATTTTGTAAAGTTTGCTTCATTTATTTATTTTTTTGTTTTTTTCGCAACTGTTTTTTGTCGACCCTTAGGTCCGCACAATTTCCACAGTTTTTCATTTGGCCGAACGTGCATGCCTCTCTGTGTGCGTGTGTTGTGTGTGAGAGTGAGTGAGTGAGCGAACGAGCGAGTAGTGTGGCTCTCTGTTTGTGTGTGTTGTGCGAGAGTTGCCGAGGCGGACGTTTGCTCGCCAACGAACGCTGTTGGCAACTCTGCCAATTCTTTAACAACTTTTCCATTTGGTGAAAATTCTTGGGCCAGTTTCCGCTGGCCCGGCACGGCCTGGCCCACTGAGATGGTTTGGCCGCTCTTCGTATGGCCAGTGTGGCCAGTGTTTACAATTGCCCTGCCTGCGCCTCGCCTGCCAACGTTTTTGCACACTTTATGTACATGAGAGTGCTATGCTATATTCCCGTCGCTAGTGTCGCTAGTGGCTGTGTGTGCGTGCATTCTACATAATAGTGTACACACACATAAATACTTCATCTTCATTTTGTTATTTGCGATTCGCTTTTACTTCCTTTATTCGTCTGTTTTGTTGTCGCTCGGCTTGCTGCTTGCCTGGCCCCGCTGTCAGCCGCCTCCGTCTTCTTCGTCTCGTCTCGTCTCCTCTCCGCTGCTGTCACTGTCACTGTTTTCCCTTATGCTTGCTTTCCACCATCCGTCCATCCGTTTCATTGCTCGGCTCTGCAGAGGGTGGTGGCGATGGCTTCAGTTAATAATGTGTGTGTGTGTGTATGTTCGTGTGTGTGAGAGAGCGTCAGTATATCTGTGTGTTTGTGTGTCATTAAATCCGTGGCTGTGTGGAAATGGAGGCCGATTTCCTCCGCCAAAGCTGTGCAGAATGCAGCCGCAAGCAGCCTGCAAAAAATGCAAAGCGAAGGTCGCCTCTCCACTAAAAAACAACTCTCGAGGCTCTCGGTGTTTGCCTGAGAGCCGAGCCTGTGGCTCTGGCTATTATTTGCTTGCGCTAGTCTGGCCACACCAAAATGGCGCCTTTCAAAATGTACTTCAGCTCTGGGGATCAGCCAGCAGCCAGCCAGCAACAGCAACAGCAGGATACCAAAGCACACCAATTTGAGGATTACTCAATCCTCAGCTCAGCCTCCTCAGCCCATCAATTCCTCAGCTTTGCCTTTGACTCTTCTTTCAGCTTCAGCTTCTGGATTCTGGCTTCTGGTTGGCTTTCCTCACATTCTCCGCTCTCTCTCGCACCGCTCTCTCGCAACCGCAGTTCCAGCTGCTGCTGCCAAAACTTGTTTTCGACTTTACGACTATGCCAGAGCTGAGTCTCTGCGGTGCGGTGCGCTGCGATACGGTGGGGGAGTGGGGAAGGGGCATGATATGGAAACTGCAAAGCATGTTTAATGTTCTAGCCACAGGGGCAGGTTGGCTGCCTGGGCTCCAGCTTCGGCTGAGCTTCGGCCTCGTTCAGGATCAATCCGATTGCTGCCCCACATAACCTCACAAATCAAAAATCCAGGCAGAAAGCAATAGAAACGAATTTAACGAACGGATGAGTGAGCGATTGAGTCCCAAAGGAAGAATGTCGTCTGTCGAAGAAGAATAGTAGGGGGTGAAGCGTCCCCCACCAGGGGATGTCGTTTTTGTGCCCGTAGCCTACATGGCGTATTAGTAATCGATCCACATCTCATGTTCTGTTCCCTCCTGTGCTTTCTTGCAGGCAATCCACATCATCATCCAAGTCAACCAATGGGACCAACTCACTGTGACTCGAAGTGGACACAATCAGCATCGGATTGCCAGGAGCAGGAGCAACGTAAGCAGCCACAGTCGCAGCAGCCACTGCAGGAGGAGACGGAGGAGCTGGCATCATAGGAGCAGCAACGTCCGCAGCAGCTGCGCTAGGTGACGGCGTCTCGGTCACCGGCTCGTCAAGGATGTCGAGCCGTAAGCCAGGAGCCACAGCCACAACGGCAGCCGTCCTGGAGGACACGGCGAATACCTCAGCCACTGTGATCCTGCCAGCCTGCAGCGAGGACCAGTCTTCAAGCGCTGCCGAGGAGCTAGCCAGAGCCGGAGCCAAATCGCCCTCTCCCGAGGGGAATGGGGCAGGGGAAAAGACGGATGATCAGCAGCAGTCCAGCGGGGATGCGAATCCGAGTCCGAACCCGAATTCGGACCGGAGTCAGCCCTCTCCCGCCACAACAATAGAGAGGGTAGTGGCCTCACCAAAGCCACCCACGCCCACGACTGTCAGCGATGGACTGGGGAGCAAGAGTGTGCGAATAACACGGCTCTCGTCGCCGCTCCTGCTGCTCAGCTCCCCCACAGCTACAGCCTCGAGGCATCGCGAGGCTAGCGAAGACGGCGAAGAGCCGCCATCGTCGGGTAGTCAGAGGAAGAGCTCGGTGGAGCGCTCGGTTGTTGCCCCCCCCGTCATACGCGGACGCAAGTCCATTAAGGATCTGAAAGAAGCCAAAGAAGCCATCGCCAAGCTCGAGGATGGGCCAGGATCAGGGACAGTGCAAGTCAAAGAGGAGGCCATCGACGGCAGCGAACTGGAATCCCTGCCAGCTGCCGATGAAAAAGACAACAAAGACACAAAAGACAAGGACAAGGAAAAGGAGAAGGACAAAGAGCTGCCACCTACGCCGACCTGCAACCGTGTCACCCGCAAGTCGCACGCCCAGGAGCAGGCGAACAACACTCGCGTCACCCGCAATCGTCGACAATCATCGACGGTGGCCTCCAGCGAGCAGCAGCAGCAGCAGTTGCCGACCGCACGTGGCCGCCGTCCCAGGAAGTCCCAGGCGGTGGTCCCGCCGCCCCTGGAGCCAGCCGCCAAGCGGAATCGCTCCGAGGACGACGTAGAGAGTGCGGCAAAGTACAGCAAAATTGAGGTGAAGGCGCCGCCACCCGAAGACGAGATCGACGACGCCGTGGACGCCGCCGAGGAGCCACCAAAGGGCGCTGTGCTGATCAAGCAGGAGCCCCCAGACAGGGACACAGCCACACCCGTCACTGTCCACGTCCCCGCCGTTCCCACACCAACCTCAGGGGGAGGTCGACGCGGACGCGGCCGGCCACAGACAAAGAATGTCGGAGTCGCGGCTGGCACAGCAGTTTCCCCAGCCGTTGCCTCGTCTACCAGCACGCGAGCGACGCGTCTGAGCAAGACGGGATCGCCGGGTGGACTGGGAATGGCCGCTGCTGCCGAGCCGATGATGGCGAAGCGACGACGGGTGGGCTCCACCACACGGAAGACTGCATCGGCCGGCTCGCTGGCCACCAGCGCGCATGGCGGCGGGGACGAGGACTCGAAGGACAGCATGGCCTCGTCCATGGACGACCTGCTGCTGGCCCACGCCGACATTAAGCTGGAGAAGCTGACGCCGGACTTTGACGAGAGCCTGCTCCTGCCAGTGGATCCTGTGGTGGGGTTGCTGAAGGACGCACAGACGGCCATGGAGGAGGAGAGCTCCACTACCAGCGGAGGGGCCAACGGTCATTCCTCCTCCTCCTGCGTCGAACCGCTCACCGTGGACGCCGATCTGGGGAATGCCGATAAGGATAAGCCGAAGGAGTCGCCCCAGGAGTCGACGGAACTGCCGGAGTCCGAGTCGGAGTCTGCCTCTGGGTCCGTCTCCGCATGCGGAGAGGCTGGCAAAGCGCCGTCGCTCAGTCCCGACATAATCAGCGTTAAGTTCTACAAGAAGTTCCTGGCCAACAATCTGGGCATCGAGAAGGACCCGGAGCTGGGCGAGATTGTCCAAATAGCCAGCCACAGCGAAGTGGAAGTCGAAGCGGAAGTCGAAGCGGAAGTCGAAGCGGAAGCTGAATCTGAGGCTGATCCGGAAGCGGAGCCAGAACCGAAAACTGAAGTGGAGCTGGAGCTGATAAAGGCGGAGTCCGAGACAGAACTGGAGGCGGAAGCCGAGGGAGAAGTTAAGGCCGCGGCCGCCGCCGAGGCCGAGGCAGAAGCCAAATTTGCGTTGGAGGACTCCTCGTACTCGAACAGCTCCTTGAAGGCGGGTGCGCTTCGGCTGGACGAGAGCGGCGAGGAGCTGACCCTCGAAGACAGACCCGCGGATGAGGTCGCTGTAAACGGGGATAATGGCCATGAGGGGGAGGCGGAGGAGGAGGAGGAGCAGAAGTCGGACAACTACGACGACTTTGATCACGAGATTATGGAGGAGCTGGCCAAGGAGGGCGTAGTGGACGCCAGGGGCAATGCGCTGAGTCGAAAGGCCGAAGATGAACCTGAACCTGCTCCAGAGCCTGTGACTGAGACTGATCCTGCGGATCCTCCCGATCATCCCGAGGGAGTGCCGGCGGTAGGAGATGATGAGCCGACGGACGCGGAGGAGAAGGATGTACCCGAAGGAGCCATGGAGGTAAAGGCATCCCCGACTGTAGCCGAGCAGCCAGCGGATGCGGACACAGAGATGGAAATGGATGTGGATATGGAACACGGAGGAGAGGCAGAGGAAGAGCCAGAGCAAGATAAACCACAGCAGGAGCTGCCGCTGATGGCGGATCACATGGACAACGATTTTCCGGAGGAGAACAAGGAGAACCTGTCCATGTCCAGCACATCCCCCAGGAGGTCCAGCCACGACGGTCTCGACATTCAGCTGACCCTTAAGGATGAGGAGGACGAGGAGAAGCCCCTGGCGACCATAAAGGCTGCCGAGCAGAAGACCAATCTGGATCCAGACGACCGCGCAGCTCCCCAGCTCTGCCTCAAAGCCCTCAAGGACCTCAAGGATCACAAGGACCAGTCCGAAGAGAAAGCCCTGCTCCTGGAATACTTGCCCAACGCAGAAGCCAATGGCAAGCAGGAGGCGGGACTCTCATGTGATGAGAAAGAGCGGCGCGACCAAGAGATTCATCTTCACAATCTCGGCCTCCTCACGCACCAGGCCGCCGAGCAGCGGCGCCAGGACCTGCAGGAGGCGCAGACACGCCAGGCGCAGTACCAGCAACAGCATCCGCAGGCCTATCCGAGCGGAAAGCGACGCTCGACGGCCCTGGCAGGAGCGGCTGCAGGATCTGGGTCGGGATCGGGGGGAGGCAGCGCCATCCACGTGGAGTCCAGCGGGACACTAAAGACTGTTATCAAGCTCAATCGGAGCAGCAACGGGGGAGCCAGCGGAAGTGGCGGAGTGCCCACGGGGACTGTCATCCACGGCAGCGGCTCCTCCGGCTCCTCATCCTCCTCCTCGATGGGCAGTGCCACGCGAAAGGCGAGCGCCGCCAGCACAGGGTCAGCCATGGGCTCTGCAGCCCACGGAGTACGCCGTCAGTCCCTCAAGATGACATTCCAGAAGGGTCGCGCCCGCGGCCATGGATCAGCGGATCGCTCTGCCGACCAGCATGGCGTCCACGCTGAGGACTCGTACTACACAATACAGAACGAGGTGAGTGGCTCCCGCAGTGCAACCTCCACCTCACCCAACCATCATCTAATCTCGTTTCCATTCTCCATTCTATTTTGCAGAACGAAGGTGCGACCAAGTCGAACATACCGTCGGGTAATCCTGGCCGAAAGACCACTAACCGTTTCAGTTCGACTAACAGCCACCACCACTCGACGATAGCCAAGCACTTGGGTGCGCTCCAGCACAGATCTCTCCTGGGTTGGTTTTCAGCGTCGCGTTTCCGATTCCCTGCCAGCAGCTGCTCTCTCTCTCTCTCCTTCAGGGAATCAAACCGAATCCAATCTTTTTCGATCAGTGTTGCCAATCTGGAATGATCCTTTTTATATGTATGCCCGTCCTTGCGTGTATCAGATATTCCATTAGATGATTCCATTAGATGTATTGTACGGGCCAGAAGAAAGCGTTTCCGATCCCATAAAGCATAAATGGAATACATAGATAAATAGATTCCTGATGGCACCGAATTTCCCGTGGCTGAATCCTTTCTCTGCTTCGCTTTCCCTCTTTTCATCATCCAGTGCAGTCCATGGCGGAGTGAGGGGGGATATAATCATAGGATTATGTATGTATATAAAAACGAGGGGGAACGTTGTGAGTTGCTGCGGACACCGCAACTCTACAGTTATACGCGATACTAAGTCAGTATAGCTCTCCTCCGGCAGACGCCGCTTATATTAAACGAAACGACAAAGAGTGCGTGCGAGAGAGACAGAAAATCAGTCTGAGCGTGACGTCGGGCGCTGCGTAGCCACTGAAAATTGACTTGTTCCTTTTGGCCTAAAAAATGTCTGATCTGATCCAGATTCAGCAATCTGATAGATATGGTCGTTATCTATGATTCTGCGTTTTTAGTTTTCTCGAATCTGCAATATTGTGGATGCAAGAGATTTTCGTCCTTTGTGTGGGCGGAAGGGGGTGGGGCGAAATTCTGAGATATACGTTTTATAGTGAGATCAAACAGGAGTGTGGATACCAAATTTGGTTACTCTAGCCTTAATAGTCTCTGAGATTTGTGGATGCCCCAGATTTTCGTCCTTTTCTCATTTTGAGTATCGGGCATAACCAGATCTGCTCACCGAAAGAACAGAGAAATATGAAGCAGAGCCGCTCATCGAATACGTACATTTGTTACTCTCGTGTTTTCCGCTCCATGCTGATCAGCGGCTCGCTCAGCTCTTGCTATAGCGAAGACAGTTTGATGAAGAGACTGTCGATCGCGCTCAGCAGCTGAGCAAAACGAGCTGAGTGGAAGCACAAAGTGTCTGTTTTGTTGTGGTTTTGCAAAAGAAACTTTCGGGAAATGTGGCTCAGAGAAGTGTCTCTCTCATGCGAACGAATGCACTCCGCATCGCTGGTTGAGCAAAGAGCGCGTTGAGAACAACCAGAACAAGTGGAAGTGTATTTTCTGCCTGCCAAAAGGAGCCGCTTCTTGCGAGCTCTGATACAAATTGAATGCTGTACATCGGTGTTTGGTAAGAGAACGTCGCTACGTTAGGATTAGCTTGATTTGGAGACGGAATCCATCAACACAAGGATGGAAATGCCAAGTCATGGGTGCAGTGAAACTGATAATCAATCGATAAGCACTATTTTTACCGGTTTGGCAACACTGGTCTCGATTGAGCTGTAATTATTGCAAGGAAAGACGATTCCTTCGGGCTCTGGGCAATGGATTGATTCCCTGATCTTCATCCGCTTCATGACACCTCCGTTCCACTGCTCATCCGTTCAGGCATCCGCTGAGGCGCCACTTCATCTCCGCTCCATATCATCCAACAGAGAAACAGATACACAAACAGACAACAGATAAAGATACAGAAACACATACAGATACAGATACAGAGATCGAAAGACAGAACGACGGCCGGTGATGGATTGGATTGGCTAACAGAGGTGTTTGTTCTCCTTTCTTTTCTGATTCAGATTCATCGCAATCGGAGGGGCATGGTGGCCATGCAATGGACCATGGCTTCTACCAAATGGTCAAGAAGGATGAGAAGGAGAAGATACTGATCCCGGAGAAGGCCTCTTCGTTCAAGTTCCATCCCGGGCGGCTGTGCGAGGACCAGTGCTATTACTGTAGCGGCAAGTTCGGGCTGTACGACACGCCCTGCCATGTGGGCCAGATCAAGTCGGTGGAGCGTCAGCAGAAGATCCTAGCCAGTAGGTTGCCCGACCCCCAACCCCTTCCCCACCCATTGCAAAGATACGCTAATTTATCCCAACGAAAACCTTCCAGACGAGGAGAAGCTGACGGTGGACAACTGCCTGTGCGATGCCTGCTTCCGGCATGTGGATCGTCGTGCCAACGCGGCCCCCTACAACAAGAAGCGACTCTCGGCCCCCGGCCACCTGGAAACAGGTGGTCCCGGCGGCCCTGGAGGCTCCGCCTCCGGTTCCAATTTGGACAAAAACTATGCCGGCGAGGGAGTGCCCACGGAAGGGGTCGAGATGGGCCCCTCCACGTCGGCGGGGGCCGCTCAGCGATCGTGTGCCGTGAAGGACTGCTGCGAGACGGCCGGCCATCAGCTGCGCCGCAAGTGCATCCGCAAGAGCGTGAAGAAGTTCCAGCTGAGTTTCGAGATTCCCGCCGGCACCTCGATCGTCTGGCTGTGCGAGGCCCACTACAACACGTTCATTCAGTTCTCCGGCTGTGTCCTTTGCAAGCGGCGGCTGGGCAAGAATCACATGTACAACATAACGACGGTGAGTGCATCCCTGCCTGTCTCTGTTGCTGGTCCTTATGCTGTGATTCCGTTCCGTCTAGCAGGACACCGATCGACTGGAGAAGGCCCTCACGGAGATGGGCATACCCGTCCAGCTGGGCATGGGCACCGCCGTCTGCAAGCTCTGCCGCTACTTCGCCAACCTTCTGATGAAGCCCCCCGACAGCACCAAGTCCCAGAAGGCGGAGTTTGTCAAGAACTATCGCAAAAGGTGAGTCCGAGCACCAGTGGCCGTTCTTCATGGGCATATCCTTAGTGATCCCTATTCCCGGGCAGGCTCCTCAAGGTGCACAATCTGCAGGATGCCAGCAACGAGGTCTCCGAGGCTGAGGACGAGGCGGTCGATCGCAGTGCTCACTCCGCCGCCTCCACTAGTGCAGCCGCCTCCACGCACGAGGACGCCGAGATGCCGTTGGTGGTGGACTTCGACGGTCCCACGGACTCCAACTCGAGCAGCTCGTCCATCACGGCCATCGGAGGATCGACAACCGGCACTAGCAAGCAGATGTCCAAGCTGCAGGCCATCCTGCAGCAGAGTCTGTCAGGCGAGGGTCTGGCCAGTGGCAGCGGCAGCGGCAGTGGCAGTGGCAGTGGAGCTGCGAACGGATCGGCCACCTCTAGTGCAGCGAATCCGGACATATCGAACGTGCTGCGCGGCAACCCGAACATCTCCATGCGCGAGCTCTTCCACGGCGAGGAGGAGATGGGGCTGCAGTTTAAGGTGCCCTTCGGCTGTAGTAGCAGCCAGCGCACGCCGGAGGGCTGGACGCGGGTGCAGACCTTTCTGCAGTATGACGAGCCGACGCGCCGCCTCTGGGAGGAGCTGCAGAAGCCGTATGGCAACCAGAGCTCCTTCCTGCGCCACCTCATCCTGCTGGAGAAGTACTACCGCAACGGAGACCTCGTCCTGGGTGCTCACGCCTCCTCAAATGCCAGCGTCTACACGGCGACCGTGCGCCAGCGACTGAACTCCTTCGATCATGGTCACTCCTACGGAGGAACCCCAGCGGGCAAGCGGCCGCCAGTAGTCGGCTCCCCGGGCTCATCTTCATCGACCGCCGCGTCGGCCAGTGGCAGTGTCCTGGCCACCCCCATCGCCAACGCTAATGCCAACCAATCTGCAGACAACACCGGCCAGGGAGAGCCAAAGATTCCGCTGGTGGAGCTCAACGACGACGACGACGAGGTCGCCGTGGGCCAGCGATCTCCAAAGGATGTCCTCAACTCGCACTTGGAACGCCTCACCACCGTCTCGGTGGACAAGCTGACCAAGCAGCTCAGCTCGAACGCGGTGACCATCATCGCCCGTCCCAAGGACAAGCCAGCGCCGCCGAGTACCGCCGCCACAGGTACAGGCCCAGCCACAGCCACAGTCACAGCCAAAACAGCCACACTCGCCTCGTCGCCGGCATCGATCTCTTCAGCGTCGCCTGCGTCGTCACCCGAGGATGGGGGCGCCGGCGCGGGCACGGGCACCCAGAAGGCGGTAGCCTTGTGTCCCTCCCAGTTCAAGAATGCCCCGCCCCTGGTGCCCACCAGTGGCGCCAACAGTAGGAGCATCCTCAAGAGCAACCTCCTAGGGACCAACAAGGCCGTTGAGATTGTGCCACTGTCCTCGTCGCTGCCCGTCTCTGCCAGCCTGTCCTCCGCCTCACTGCTCGCCAATCACTCGGTTGGCTCGAAGGCCCCTGCTGCCGTCGCCGCGTACTCCGCCCAGGAGAAGCAGAACAAGATCCTCGATGTGGCCAATAAGCTGCTTAGCAGTAAAAACGAGAGCAAGTCACAGCAGCAGCAGCAACAGGTGGGCGCCCGTCTGGTTGGGGGTATTCAATCCAAGCTGAAGTTGGCCACGCCGATGAGTCTGCACCAGCACCAGCAGCAGCAGGGATCGTCCTCGAAGACCCCCACCAATGTGGCCCAGCTGCTGAACTCGCCGCCGGAGCTGATAAGCCTGGCGCGAAGAAGGACAGCCGGAGGGGGGCCTCCCTCTGCATCGATGGCTCCGGGGGGTTCCAGTCTGATGGGCAATCATCTCAGCAGGCGGCTGCAGCTGCAGCAGAAGCCAGGAACAACTGGATCGGCTGGTACGGGTACTGGAGCTGGAACTGGAACTGGAGCTGCGGCAGGCAGTCGCGGGCTGGCAGCACCGCCGAACGTGGTCATACTGCCGGAAACACTGACCACGCAGGAGCGGCACGAGTGCAAGAGCTGGAAGCCAACCCTGATCCCGCTGGAGGATCAAAACCACGTGCCCAGCAAGTCGCAGGCCCTCTACCAGACAGCCGATGGCCGACGGCTGCCGGCCCTCGTCCAAGTGCAGTCGGGGGGCAAGCCCTACCTCATCTCCATCTTCGATTACAACCGCATGTGCATCCTGCGGCGGGAGAAGCTGCTCCGCGACCAGATGCTCAAGACCAACGCCAAGCCGAAGCCCAGCCAGACACAGACGCAGTCGCAGTCCGGCCAGAACTCGGACACCGCGGTGCCCGCATACATCGCCCAGATGGCCCACCAGCAGCAGACCGCTCGCCAGCAGCTCCAACAGCTGCAGCAGCAGCAACAGCAGCAGCAGCAGCAGCACAAGCAGCACTTACAACATCAGATGCCAACACTTCAGCCGGGAGGAGGAGCCGGTGCCGGTGCCGGACGACTGGCCCGCCTGGCACCCAAGCCCATGCCGCCGCTGAACATTCCGCAGATCGCCAGCCAGGGCCATACCCAACTGAACATCAATCCCAGCCTAGAAGGCACCAGCGGCAACAGCAGCAACAGCTCCTGGCTGTGGAACAACTTCCCCGACCACAAGCAATATCTCCCGAATGGCAACGGCGGCACGGGCCCCTCCGGAAAGCTGCCCCACCTCACGCCCAAGCCCTCGACGGTCACCCTGAGCAGCGGCAGCAGCCTCAAGTCCGGTCCAACCTTCACCCTGAAGCAGCAGCAACAGCAGATGCAGCAGCAGAAGCTGATCGACAACGCCATATCGAAGATACCCAAGAGCTTGATTGTCATTCCGCAGGGTGGCGACTCTTCGGGCTCGTCTAAGGAGTGATGGCGTCCGGAAGCGGTGCCTGCATGTTGCCACGTTGTACGTTGGCATTTGTGAGAGGAGGAATATGGATGGATGTCGCATATTCCACATGTATTCATGTGAGTCAGTCGACATCCCGTAGGACTACGATTGTAGAGTCGCAATAAAATGCACAGTAATACCAGACGAGAGGTGAGGAGAGACGGAGGAGAAAATCAAGATAGTTTTTAAGCTTACATAACATTTTGTGTGTATAAATCGAGATATACGGCTACGAATATGTGTAGACTTAAGTACAACTAAATAATTAGGCTGTTTGCTTGCGAACTGAAGCTGAAGAACTCTGAGAGTCGAACGACTCGACGAAGGAAGCCAGGTCGCAGCAACTGGTGCCAGCAACTGACACGAAGGCAGATAGAGTTAGGCCCTAGATATATATATATATAACAATACCTACACCTGTACTCTAATCGACTCTAGGATATCCTATATTTTTTTAATAGATTTAACGAGCACATTCACTTGCGATTCGTGTATTATAGATACCAAAATTGCTAGAGCGCCAAGTGGTTAGATGTAGAAGAGGTGGTAGAGATTCCACGCACACACACGCACACACACACACACAAACCAAACACACACACACTCACACTCACCCAAGCTGATGTTTAAAAGGATGAAGAGAGTTTCCTCTCTTTTAGAAAGAGCAATCGTAATCGTTACCCAAACGCAAATCGGCTAATCGCAACCTTCGGGACAGATCCTCAACTTCACAAGGGGCCCCACACCTGTGTATGGTGGGCTCCACTGATTCGATTGTAGACTTCTAGATTCTCAATATACCAATTATTTCATTTTCAAGTACTTTTAAAGAAAAGTTCGCTCGCTCGCTTCGTGTGGGTAGATTCTTAATTTATGTCCATTTTCGATTTCCATTTACCACACTCGAACACACACGCAAACACACTCACACCCTCACCCACACACACGTATAGATTATAATGGTAATTTCTATACGATTGTACATATGCATACATATACACAAATACTTCTACACATAACATGAGAATGCAAAAATACATAATACAAAACAAACAAAAAAGCAATCAAATTGATCCATTCGAAAAATTCTAGAACTGTAACTTTAGCTCCCTAAGTTCTCAAAAACAAGGAAGGCCCGGGAGAGGATCGGATCGGATCGGATTTTGTGTTGTTTTCATGTCTCGTGACAAATTGAAAAGCTTTCAAAAACCCATACAAATTCAATAAATAAACAAAACGTATATGCACATATACATATCCGTAAATATATATATATATATACATATAGAAGATACATATATATAAAGGAAGAAAGAGGAGGAGATATTTTAGAGAGCGGCGAGAATACAAATGTAAATTAGCCTGTTAAGCAGTTAAGCATAGAGATGATATATGTATACACTATGAGAAATTCAATTGTTGTTGTTGAACATTGAAAATGTGACGAGTATTTATAAAGCGAGCAAAGTCTATTGATACTGATGAAACAGAAAAAAACGGAAAAACAAACAAAATATCGACACAAATAATAAGAAACCAAGGAAACAAAGCCCTGCCAGGCCCTGCCCTGACCTGCCCTGCCCTGCCAGGAGCAGCATCAGAAAGTAGAACCAAGTTCTCCACACCAGTCCAGGACTCACTCAATTGATTGCCTTTAACGAACTTGGTTTTATACATACATAAATACATATAGAGCCTGTAAGAGTTTGCATGAGCCAGAGTGTACGGGTGGTTTGGGTGCTCTTTTGTGAGTGTATGTATATGTTATATATTGTAAGTTGTAGCTGATAAACCATAACCACATTTCGAAGATGATCAAAACACACACACAGTTGACACTTGCGACCTACATACATACACACATACAAACATACATATTTATGCAACTATTTTTAAACGCAAGCAAAACAAGATCAACGAAATCGAGAAATAAACTCCTCCCATGTCCAGCTAAGAAAGACCAACGGTATTTTTATTCTTTCCAGGACTAGGTCCCAGACCCAGACACACACGACATACATACATATGTATATTATATAGCTGCCTGCATTGATCGATCGATAGAAAACATTGTTTATCGAAACACAATATCACCAAATAAACGCTTTATTCATTCATCTCTCTCATCGTCTCTATCTTTCTCTCGTATCGTATTGCTGTGTGCTGTGTGCTATCTGCTGTGTGCCGTGTGCCGTGTCTTGATGTGTGTGCTTTCGATTAGTTTAAGTGTTTTTTAAAAGCTGAAATGTGAAATTGTTTGAGATAATCAAAATTCGAAACGATAACCAATCAATCGTGAAGATATGTATACGTGAATACGAGTTTAGTTTAGTTCGGGTTCGTTCTCGATGGATAAATAGTAGCTACAATAAATAATTGTATGAATACATATGTATATAGAACAGAACTGTTTTCTTTCTTTCTCTATCGCTTTCGCTATTGCTATCTCACTCTATAGCTATTGCCATCTCTGTCTGTCTGGTGAACTTCAAGGCCGTCGGCCTGATTTCCGCTAGTTCCGTCTCCTTCTGACTACCCCTCTCTTTTGGGACTACCCTGTCTTTGGTTTGGTTTTGGGATGATCCTTCGATCTGGATGCTTCGTTGGGAGCATGCTATCTTTTCGTTTTTGTTTCGGTTTTTATGTATGGATTTTGTTTTTATTAACATAAATTTCAAAAAATATTGTTTTTTAGAGTTTTTTGTATAGTTTTTGTTTATGTTTTGGACTTGGTTTTAGATTTAGATTTCGACATTCGATGCACATTTGCATTTGCATTTGAGATGATATTCCTTTTGCTGTTTTACAATCGATAGGATCCTGCATAAAAATATATATATGTACTATATATATATATTGTATATGTGTATGTATATAATGTATTGTATGTGGCGTGGCGTAGCGTGGCGTGGTGTGGCGTTTCGGGGCACGGTCCGCACCCACTCACATCGGTTCGAGACGAAAAGCTATAAATATATATTCTCTCATGATAGTACTCTCTCTCTGAAGTTCTTCTGAAGTTACCGTTACGAGTGTAGGTATAATAAATCTATGTTTATTAATATTATTATTATTAGAGTTTAGCATTATTATATGATCTGGCCACTGCTCGGCTTGGCTCTACCTGCTCCGCTCCGCTCCGCTCAGCTCTGCTCTGCTGGGCTCGGCTCGGCTCGGCTCTTCTCGGCTTTTTCCCTACTCTTCTCTACTCGTCTCCTCTCGTCTCCTCTCGTCTCGTCTCGTCAATCCTTCTCGTATCCTTCTGGGCTGCGTGAGCCGCGGGGCTTACAAATCGGTTTCGCCGTAGAGAGCTGTGCTGAAGGACATGTAGTCCAGGGCACCGGGCACTCCGTTGGGGCCCTTGTATGGTGGCATGCGCTGGATGCAGTATTCGGCCTGATCTGGGGGCAGTTCGCGGCGCAGTTCGTCGGGCAATATGTATGGCTGAGGGGGCGAGAAGAGGTATAAGGTATAAGAAAGGCATTCTATGTGATCCAGAGACCAGGGAACTGAATAACTCACCTTATCGGCTGCCAGGATGCGGAAGGAGTCGATGACCTGCTCGGCAGTGTCGGTGTCGGTGCTCTCGCGGGTCATGAAATCGAGGAAGGCATCGAAGTGGACGTAGCCAGTGTTGTTGGGGTCGACGACGGCGAGGATGCGCTGGAAGTCCATGTCGCCCTGTCGGTCCTTGCCGATCGAGTAGCCCAGGGAGACGAGGCAGGACTTGAACTCCTCCGGCGTGAGGCGGCCGGTGCGGTTCTTGTCGAAGTGATTGAAACTGGAGCGGAACTCGTTCAGCTGCTCCTGGCTGATGCCCTTCGAGTCGCGTGTCAGGATCTGGTTCTCCACCTCGTTGATGTTGCGGTTGATCGATGTGAGCAGCTGCTCCCAGCCGACACGTAGCGTCTCCATCGTGTAGTTGGTGTAGCGGTTCTCGAAGATCATCGACTCCTGCACGGCCTGGTGGATCTTCTCCAGCTCCTCGATGTTTGGCTTGTACGCGTACACAGCCTGTTCGTACTCCTTGAGGCGGTGCAGCTGATCCTCCAGGGAGCCCTGCAGGCCCATGCCTATCGCCGTCACGGCGTCCATCTGCCTCTCGATCCAGGGACCCACCACATTGGCCTTCTCGGCGAACTGACGGCGCAGCATCTCGTTGTTCTGCTGCTTGCGCAGCTCGTTGGCCAGCGTCTGGTCGCGTTGTGGCACCAGCTGGCGGACGTCGCTCCACTTGCGGGTCATGTCGTTGGCGGTGAGGGTCGTGTAGGGGTTCTCGAGACCGCCGGGTATCTGGTGCTGCTTCACAATAGACTCCACCTCGCGCACCAGATTCACAATCAGATTGAACTCCTTGTCGGCCTCGCCGAGCGTCGCCTTGAACTGATCGTGCGCCTGGATCAGGCCCTGGATCTCCTCCATGGTGTGGACGATGAACATGTCAACCAGATCTTCGCGCGTCCCGTCCAGCCAGTTGTTGAACGGAGCCGCACGCTTCGCGAACTCCAAATGCAAGATGTCGATCTTCTCCAGAATGCGCTCGGCCTCGTCCAGCGCCGTGCGGCGACGCTGAGTGAGGGCTCCCAAACGATCCCACTGGTCGCAGATGCGCTGACATCTGGCATTCACCGACACGCAGTCATGGTACTCCAGGGTGCTGCATGGGAACAAGACACACAATGATTATTATTGAATTTGGATTAGGCATCAGTGGATTAGGGATTAGGGATCAGTGATCAGGTATCGGGGATCAATGCATGAGGATGGGTCTTAAATGGGTCGAATAAGCGAATGCTAATGGCGTGCCAAGAGATGTGATCTGGAGGTGATCAAGATCGATGGGTTGCTTCTACCTAACCTCACACTTTACTCGCGGATTGGATCGGTTTGGATCGCAGCGTTGCCCGTGGGCAGGGCAGCAGGCGGGGGGTATAGATTAGATTTATGGCTTTGTGGCAAGGCCTCGGCTCCGACTTACTTGAGCTCCTGGGCGATAGCGGCGATCTGTTCAACGCGATCCTGGTGGGCGGCCAGGTCCGACTCGAAGGCCTCGTGCTTCTTCTTGAGCGCCTTCAGCTCGTTGAGCTTGCACTGACGGAAGTCCTGCGACTGCAGCATCTCCTCCTTGCCGCGCGTCCAGTCCTCGTGGGCATCGGCCTATCAGTCAATGCACGGATGAGAATCGGGGCATGAATTGGAGGCACCGACACTTACCTTGTGCTTGAACTTCTGGGCCAAGTGCTCGAGACGCTCCAGGCGCATGGTCTCGGCCAGCAGCCACTCCTCGAATGCCTTCTCGGCCAGCTCGAGTCCCTTCCACGAGTTCGAGATGTCGGACACGGTCTTGCCTTCGGTGGGAAGGTAGGCCGGACGGTTCGACAGACGCAGCTTGGTCTGCAGGGTGTTGAAATTGGTTTCGAGTTTTGCCTTCTGCTCCACACGCGGGGGCTTGTGCTTGCGTCGGTACGTGCGGTACTCCTCCAGTTTCTTCTGGACGCCGGCCAGCGAGTTGTCCGCCTGGCGGGAGTTCAGCCACGGCATGGTGCGGCGGATCCACTCCAGCAGCTGTGGGAAGGGAAGGGAACGGAGGGGTCAAGGTCACTGTTAGAAAGAGCACTCCTCGATCTTCCCTCGCTGGGAGTCCACACTTACATCGCTGGCCAGACGCTCGTACTCCTCCATGAGACGCTCATTCTCCTGATTGACCTTGAGTACCTTGCAGATGCGGTTGGCAGCGGTTTCCGCCTGTCGATTGGGTCGGGAGGGGGGACGATAAGAGATATTTAATTAGCATTATTCTGAATAGGGCGGCTCTGAGTGTGCGTGTGTGTGTGAAGCACGGAACCAACTCAGATTTTTGTCGAAAGCAGAACGAGACGAAAAACGAACTGAACAGGAAAACAGGAAAATACAAAACTCAAAGCCAGGCCCAGTGGCAGCGGCAGCCATTCTGCATCTCTCTGCAAAGTACAGCTTCGTTTAGATTTCCGTTTCCGCTTCCTTTTTTGGGGGAGCGGTAGAATGTCCAAGAATTGAGATGAGATCAGATCAGGTCCGACTGCCCCTGGGCGTTGCGTCACGGAACATATCCAAGCAAGAGAGCGATAGCAAGAGCAAACAAAGGGCAAACAGAAACAAAAACAGAAACAACAAACAGAAAAGAGAAGAAAGAACGAAAGACTCGGTCTTCGGACTCTTCGGAGGCTTCCGAAGCTTCAAAGCATTAGATGGTCTTGAAGGAATCTCCTTTCGGATACACCCTGTAAAAGGTTGCAAAGAAAATAATTCTTTCAACCGTTAGATAGGATTATATAGACGGAAGAGTCGAAGGACTAGTGGTTGGAACTCATTACAGTACTCTAGTAATGCTTCAAAAATGAAACATCGAGGGATCAGAACAGATCTAGAACAGGTAGTGTCTAAGCTGCGGGATCAGTATGGAACGATCGAGTAGCAGACAGATGGACACACGGACACACGGGGGTAGCTCTTTATCGATTTGTACTTTACGGATGCTGCAATCTTTCCTTGGTTTCTTCTCTAGCATAAGCAAACCCTCTCTCTGCAGGAGCACAAGAAAGCTGCTCCATGGAAAGGTGAAGCGATATCCTGCCAGAGCAAGCCATTCATTGGCAGCGCGAGTATATAATATGTGTATTGTATTAAAGGATTAGCACTAGCGCATTATGTATTGAATGCATGTGTGTGTGTGTGGACGGGTGAACGCGGTCAGGGATGCATAGCCCAGGGCTGCAAAGGGGAGATGAACAGAACAGGGGACACAGAAGAGGAGTGGAGAGCGGGACTATGGCAGGTCTTATATGTAATTTGTGTGGGAGTGTGATTGGTTTTTGTTTTTGTTTTTGTGTTCAACAGACCTTTTGGGCGCCACTGAAGCAGTGGTAGTACGACGATACATAGGTCATGACCGCACGCTCGTCGGGCAGAGCCGTGTTCTGCAAATCTGTATGTGTGTGCGTGTGTGTGTGTGTGATATATGTGTGTGTGTGTGTGTGTGTGTGTTTTGGTAGGGAATTTGGCAGTTGTTGTTGCAGTTGCAGTTGTTGTTGTTGTTGTTGTTGTTGTTAATGGCGGTTGTTGTTGATGAGCAGAGCGGATAGGCGAGCAGTGCGCGCACACACACAGACAGATAAAAAAAGAGAGAAGAGAGAGAGAGAGAGAAAGCAACAAACATACAAAATGAGTTAATTTATAATTTGGAGTTAGTCATTAGCAGGCATCATCATCATCAACATATCGGGGTTTAGTAACTGGTAAGTAGTCTCATGCCTCGCCGGACTCTGGCACTCGAGCCACGCTGCCCCCTCTGCGGCATGTGGCATGTGGCATGTGGCAGGTGCCATGCATGGATCGAGTTCCGAGTCCATTCTGCTACACTATGTAGTATATGTATAGTATATATATATAGTATATGGTATGTACAAATAATACTTTTCTTCCACTCGAGCACACTCACAGCGAACGGACAAAGGGACACCAGGACAACGTGATCAGTTATCAGTGATCAGCTTTCAGTGATCATGTGAATGCCTATGATCTATATTTTAATTTTATTTTGGCTTTGATTACGTTGCTTATCATGCTTATCGATTGGCCAGTTATCGATAAAAGCCAACAGCAATGTACCAAGGAAAGGTATCGTACTATTTTCACACTCCTTTTTTGCTGATTCCGTCACTGATCGGGGATCAAGTTGTCCTGGTGAACGCGCCCGTTCAGTGGAACCAAGCCGCTGGTTCACCCGCTAGTTCATCCGCTGGTTCCACACGTGAGTGAGTGTGAGTGTGCTGCCAACGGAACTTTCTATGGTTATTTCTAGGTTAACTTAACGAAAGGCAGGGTCACAGGCTACATCAGCAGCAGCAGCAGCAGCAAAAGAAGGGAGCCACAGAGAGAGGAACAGAGTAGGCGGGAGATCTCTCTCCTCCCCTCATCTCTGGCTTGCCTCTTCGCATGGGTGACTCGGTAGTGGTGGGGGGGTGTGTGTGGTGGCGGGACAGTTAGTAGGGAGGTTGAGTTATCACCTTGACGGTGGCGGTTGCGGTTGCGGATGCAAATGCAAATGCAGGACAACGAACAAGATTTCAGGCAAGAAATCAATCGGAAAATAATAAAACACGTAAAATTCATATAACGGTATACGAGTATATGTATATGAAAGCGCAATTTTGAGGCGATATCCCCGCCTGGCAGAGGGGGGCATGGCGTCTGCATCGAACGGGCAACAAAATCGCAGAATATACTTAGAACGAGTAATGAACATATATATATAGAATATCTATATATTTAAGTGTATCGTGGTGAAGTTTAGTCACATTGTAATTATTCGGGACGTAGGTGTATTGTCTTGTGGGTTCGGGTACATGCGTCACATTTCCAACCTGTTGGGCTCCCTGGAAGGCGTGATAGTAGCAGGAGACGTACGTCATGATGGCACGTTCATCCGGTTTCGGTGTGTTGATCAAATCTGTCATTGTTTGTCAATATATCAATTAATACGTGCCACGACGATCCCTCTCTTATATCTATGCCTATAATTATTCATATGGCCCCCATAACCACCGTTTCCATTAAATAGACGATGATTGAAACGAGACTAAGACCCGACCCGAGCCGACCCGACCCACTCACCATCTGGATCCAACATTCTTGGAATATCGAGATACTTCTCAGCAACATCGAAGGCAGTGTTCAGGTTCTCCAATGGATTGTCTTTGGAAAGCTTGGCGTAGTCGATCAGATCTGGGCGATGGCGATGGATGAGCGCGCAGAAGGCCAAACCATCCTATAGGGAGATCACAGAAAGAGCGAAAGAGAGCGACACGATAGATCATATATGTATTCTATATGCTATAGGCTACATGGTGTACGGGAGGGATCGCGATAAACCCACCTTGAACGACAGATGGAAGTTCTGTACGTTGACGTTCTTGTAGGGAGCCGTCTTGCGCTGGCACCACAACAGCAGACCCTCCTTGGCGGTCATCTCCTCGACGGAGATGTCCTGTATGGCAAAGCGCAAGATGATTGTCCAAATCATGCCGAGGGTCATCTTCAGGTTGCCATCGACGATTTCCTCGGCACCGATCGACACCAGGTGCACACCCTTCGAGGCGATGAAGTCCAGGGCCTTGTTCACATTCGCGATCTTGTGGAAGCGCATCTTGCCGCGGTCGGGCTTGGGCAGAGTCTCTCCGGAGATCACCTCCAGCAGCAGCATCAGCTTGAGGCCATTGCGGAAGTCCTCATCGATATTGTCGATGGCGGTGCCAGCTTTGCGCAGATGACTGTTACACCAGGCGGTAAATGTCTGTGGAAGGTGCAAAGAAATAAATACATGGGTTACTAAACAACGGGACTCTGTATTCTCTGGCCAAAGGATCAAGAAGAAAGTGACAGTGGAATAATCTAGAGCCCACAAAGATCTTTTCTGCTGCACGGCTTCATCTAGAAGACATTTTCAAAGGCGAGTAGAGGGTAGAGAGTAGAGAAGAGAGTATGGAGTGCTCAAAAACATGCACTGAGATGAAAGTTCGATTTTCCAGTTTTTTCTTGACTTGGCTCGAACTTGTAGTCTGAAAGATGGCACAGTTTTTGACAGATCTTAGAGTAGATGGAATGTGAGCTACTGTAGGATGTCGGCCTCAAGTGCGAGCCGAATCATATCTCTATTCCATCGTTCCTTTCATGAAATAACAAATCGAAGTTTATCGAAGTTAAGATATCAGTCCGTCAGACCCTAATTGCCAGACCTGAGCGCCAGTTTTATCCACTTATCCCCACCTCAATCAGTATTGCCGCAGAAGTATTACCCGAATCGGTTCGGGTAGGGTTGGACTGATTCTTGATGGCTCAAATGGGCACTCTCTGGTCCACTCTCCCAGTCCTTTCGCAGCCATTTAGGGCAATGGCGCCGCGAGGAGCGGTTCTGTGATGGTGGGGATGGTTGGGTTCTGATGAGATCTGTCGCCCAGAAACTACCCGCCCCCGCCCTCCACAGGGCTTTTCCTTCCCGCCTCCACCTGATATAGTTTGGGGGGGTGGGGGCCTACTGCCACTGAGGCTGCTGCTGTTGCACTATGGTTGGTCTCGTTGCTCTCGCTGCCACAGAGGCTGACAGTTGCAGTTATTTTTCACCGAATGGGGACAGACACCGAAGACGGACAGATCAGCCAGAACAAAGAGAAAACAAGAAAAACACAACACCAATACCGATGTACCCCTTATGCACGTGCACATGCACATGCATATAAATATAAATATAAACCAGTTCTTTTTTGCACACACTTCATTATTTTGGAGTCTACAGCTCTTCCTCTACCTCTCCCGCTTCCGCCAGTTGCCAAGACTTCCTCGTTTCACGTGTAAATTTACAACTGTGAATTGTTATTGCTCTCTGCGCAGAGAGAAAGAGAAAGAGAGAGAGAGACAGAGCCAAATACGGAGCTTAATTCCCATATGGTAGAGTGATCCGCCCACAGAGAACATCGAACAGAGAACAGAGCAGAGTGCACTTTATGGGAATAGTATGCAAATATGGAAGCACTGAACAATCAATTCAGATCGAAATCGATCTGGAAATCCGATTTATAGAACGAGGAGAATGGAATCGAACGCTTGAAAAGGAGATCCCCGTGGTGAAATACATACATATGTACGTATGTATGTGTGTAGGTGCTATAGGGTATAGAAGGAGATCCATACACACAATGGATCACCGCTAGCAGCTAAGAAGACGGATCAACGATGGGATTCAAGAGAGAGAGAGAGAGAGAGAGAAAAAAAAAGAGAGAGGGGCTAGTAGGCTCTATTAGCCATTAGCTTACAGTTATGTTATGTGCGTGAGACAATGGGATGCTGTTCGACTGGAGGCTTAGAAGAGAGCGAGAAAAGAGAGTCGCGGGTCGAGAACAAGAAATGCAACTGTTAATGCAAATCGCTCACCATTCACACACACACACACACGGACACACGCAACGATCAAAACGGTCGGTGGGGACAGATTACACAATACCCCCACCCCACCCCAACCCAGCCCACTCAGAGCATAACACTAGAAACATTGGATACCCTTGAACTTGGTTCGCTCTCCTACGTGAAGCTGGAATATGATTACTATATATTATTTATGGCTAGTGCAATGTTACATAATCTCTTTAATCCCTTACAAACGGACAAACGATATGCTCGCATGTTTGCGGTTGTCAGATTTGAGAAGATATTCGGAGATGCTTTTCTCGCTGCATTGCAAGCATCTGGTCAATATCATAATACCCCCTGCAAGGGTATAACTAGGCCAACAACCAGCGCCACCGCATGCATTCGTGTGTGTGTGTGTGTGTGTGTGTGTGTGTGTGTGTCAGAGTGAAGCTGCTCTGATGCTCTGCTGCTGTGCTGCGACTCTGCTGCAGTTCGTCGCCAAACAAGTCGCTCAGCAGCAACAAGCGGCTTACCGCTAGTTAGGCTCGTCTTTGACTCCTCTCTCTCTCTCTGCCTCTGTCTCTGTATATGCCTCTGCCTCTCTCTATCTCTGCTGGCGGCTGGCGCATTCCGCCAACCCGTTTTCAACGTCGCCTCTGATCAATTACCGTTATCAGGCAGTGGCCTGGCCAGGCCTGGTTTGGCGGGGGGGAGGGGCTCGGGCTCGGGCTCGGGCTCGGTCTCGGGCTCGATTGGTGGGGAAGCTGCATACAATGTTGCCTGGCCGGGCCGGCCCTGGTCTGGCCTGGCCTGGTCTATGATCTTGGCCAGGCGATCGATTGAGCAATCGCGAGCCAAGTCAATGCGCACGCGCCAAAAAACAAGCAAATAAAAGAAATGAATACATATGTTCAAACACACATACATACACACAAAGATATATATATATATATATGTATATGTGTGTGTGTGTATTGCTTCTTTAATTTAGATGCCGCCGCGCACAGAGCTTTCGCCAAAAGCTCTCCTTGGCAGCAGGCAGCGGACGGACCCGCAACGCACTCGCTCTTGCACACCCATTTTTAGCCGAGTGTAATTTGAGCGGCCCCATAGCATGGACTCATTCGCACATGGCCAGTCAGTCGGCAGTCGGCGGCTGTGGGCCTCTGCATGGGCCTGTGCCTGTGCCTTTGCCTTTGCCTGTGGTGGTGAGGAAGGGGTGGCAACCCTGTGACTGATCCTACCCACCGCACTCCCCATAAGCACAGCACGGAACGGAACAGATCGGCACGGCACGGCCACTGCCAGGAATGATGAGTCACAAAGCGAGAAAGAGGGAGAGAGAGAGAGAGAGAGATGTGGAAGGGGAAGGGGAAATGGGCAGAGTAAGACTCATCATCAACACACTCGCGTACCAATCACCCAATCAACCAACCCACCCACCCACCTTTTGCCACCTTTTGTTGCGATCAATGTAAACACACAAAACAGAAACAACACATTTTTTTTGTATTTTGGGGCCTTTCATTTTTCGAAAACAACAAAAACACTGGGCAGAGTCAGAGAAAGAGGAAGAAATAGCAGGAGGAGGAGGAGAAGACGGAGGAGGAGCAGAGGCAGCGGCAGCGGCAGCCTAATGACGAATTCTGCTCGGTAATTTACGGTTACGAAATGTCTATGCATACACATGCAGATGTAGATGGATGGATCGAGAGGAGGAACACACAAAGATAGAGGGAGGGAGAGATGGATGCCACGCACACACACTCTCCATTCTCCCCTCTCCCCTCTCCCCGCTCACTCTCTGGCAGACAAACACACACAGATGCACGCACACACATGCAGGTGTGACCATGTCAAGCTCAAGTCATCTGTGGCTGGCGACCGCCAAAAGCAAAAAAAAAAAAAAAAATCCTCATATTTTCATTCTCATTTTCATTTTCACCTTAATTTCTTTGGGCAGATATTTGTCATTGCATTTGCGGTTTGTTCGGGTGTTTCGGGCTGTGGGTGGGTGGTGGTTCGGTGGTTCGGTGGTTTTCTCGTCGAATCTTGTGGAAATCTTGTGCATAGGAATGCCTGCGCCTGGCTATTTTTAATTGTCAATAGCAGCCGTGTCCGTGTCCGTTCCGTTCGTCTGTCCGTCCGTCCGTCGGTGTCCGTCCGTTGCTTGTCGACGCCTACCTAGGCACGGGACGTCGTGTCAAAAACATAGCCTTGCACTACATTTTGTTAGCAATTTATAGAATTATGCATATAGATACTTACAATATGTATACAATATACGTACTACATACATATATATACATATGTATATGCATCCACATAAATATTTATATGTACTCGTATGTGCTTTTTGTGTGGCGATCTCTAGGTTGGAATGCATCTCAGTCTTTGCAAAGCGACAGAACCCCCAATCGAAAGTGCTGGCAATCAGCCTTGGGGAGTCGGGTGGAGCTCCCTGAAGATATGCTCCAACAAATGACAATTTGTCATGTTGTGTACCCGATAGATAGATATATAGATATATACATCTCCCCCATCTACCCCACTCCAGCGCTATCTGCATGGTGGCAATTAGTTGCTGCTCGGCTGCTGCCGCTTCTTCTTTTTCTGCTGCTGCTGTTGCTGTTGCTGTTGCTGCGCTGGCCTACAGGTAACGGTAACAGACGCTTCCGCTGGTAACATACGACGACGACGACGACGACAACGACAAAAAGCAAACAAACGAACGGGATGAAAGAGCACAGCCCCCACCTCAACAGAAGCATAATTGAATGCGGGCCTACACACAGTATAACCTTCGGGTCTGATTGGATTGGGTTGGGTTGGGTTTGGTTCGATTCGGCCAGTGGGTGGAGATAGCGGGAATGTGAATGTGGGAATGGGATGTTCAGATAGGATTCGATTCGATTCTCCACTGCTTTTCATAATGATAAACGATCGAATGGGAATAGATATACTCGCTATATTTACGGTTGCCTATGCATATAGTACAATATGTATGTAGTTCCTGAACGGCAACGGCAACAGCAACAGCAACAGCAACAAACTATTTTCGTACTATCTTCAAACATTTTTCGAGCAAGAGCCATGAAAATGAAGCAAGAGAATTCTATTTTTAAACGCGCGCCGAGCTTTTGTGTTTTCACAGTTGTTTTTGTTGCTTTCGGCGATCTCAGAGAAATATTGAAACATAATCGAAAAATATAGAACTTGGCCAGAGCAAATAGCACATACATACATACATATGTACATAGGTATGTACTTCGATACATACATACATATGTATGTACAAATATACGGATACTATGTGTTCTATATCTATGCGAATGGGACTACATATATGTACATACATATATATCAAATATGTGTATAGAGAATGATGGAACGGGGAATAGATTGGGGTCCGGCACGGCACTCACCTTCTTCTGTTGCTTCTCCCACGCAGGATCGAGGAGACCCTCACGCTCCCATTCCTCCTCCTGTTCCATGTAGCCGTCTCCGTACTCCATGGAGAGACCGTTCTCCATCATCATCTTGTGTCTGGGGGTTACTGTTCTTCCTGCTCTCGCTGGCGCACACTCTCTCTTCACTGGCTTTCTCTCGGGGTGTGTGTGTGTGTGCGTGCGGTTGTGTCTTCTGGGCGCTGCTTCTCTCGCTGCTCGGCTGCTGCTGCTGCGGCTGACGTTTGCTGCTCAGATGATGCTGATCCAGTTGCTGCTGCTGGCAGGGATGGAGAGGAGAGGTGGAGATGGAGGTTGGTTCGATTGGTTCACTGTACTTGTTTCTCTCTTATGCTGCTCTTATGTAGTTCTTAGTGGGGTAAAACAGTCTTTAACTGGTGCAGATTCCCAATCGCTGTGTGTGCGTTTGCGAGTGTGTGTGTTCTGGCTGATTGATTGATTGATCGTTTGGTTGAACGATTGATCGATTGATTGACAGAACAAAACGAAACGAAACAAAACGAAACGGAGCGGAAAGGAGCCAAGCAGAGCAAAAGCTTCGTCAGCCTTCAGATCCGATCCTGAAAGCTTATGCACGTCCGAAAGCAAAGCCATGCTAAGAGTGCGGGACGGACAGGGACAGCGATACATTGCTCGCTTAGCGGATGGGCAAACGGAAGTTCTAACGGTGGCCGCCGACAGGTGGTTGCTCCATAAGCGCGTGCTCCCGTTTTACCGTTCACCGTATACCGTATACCGTATACCGTATACCGATTCCCGACTCCCGATTCTGCTGGAACCACCATTTATAGCAAATATTTCAAAAAAAATAATATGTACATATATGTATCTATATTGTATGCAGAATGTGAAAAATCGTTGTATAACACGTTAATTTGCTGCTTAATTATTTTTCTTGCTTTATTCGCTTTTCTTTTCTTTCGTTTTTGCTTTTTTTGTGTGTGTTTTTTTTTTGTATTTTCCGCTCGTTTCGTATCTCATCGGATCGTATCGGTTAAAAATAGTATGTTTTGAAAAAGTTTTATTTTCGGCGTCAACGTCAACCGCCAGTGCGGGGGGGCGCGGGGGGTGGTTGCCAGGGGGTTGCGGTGGGTACATATTTGAAATAATTTTGAGAAATACGCGCTCAACGCAAATTACGAATGCGAATACGAATGCAGACCGAATCGGATCGGATCGGAAATCGGAACTGACTGTCTATACGGTATATATAGTTCGATTCTGTTGGTAACACATTATCCCGTTGGCCGTTTTGGACAGATCTTGCACCTTTCCATGTACCCATATGCCATATATCTTGTTCAGATATATATGTATATGTATATATATGTGCATATGTACATAGATAAGTAGATATATTTTTTGTATATATAACCATCACACACACACACACACAAACCAGCGCATGTATTCGTAATACGTTCGTTGAAAAGTTTTTCGGTTTTTTGGTTTTTATTCCTTTTTTTATTTTATTTTATTTTTTTTTTAAATTTTTGTATTTATATTTATTTTTCAACGAGTATAAAAAAAGATGTATACGAGAAAAAAAAACGGAAAAAAATATAACGAAACGAAAAAGTGTGTGCATAAAACCAAACAAAAACAACAAAACAATGTGTGTGGAATGACAATTGGAGGAATATCTACGTGTGTCGCTTGCGAAGAGAAAAGACCCGCTCGCGTTGAAAGCCAACTCAAAACTGATGTCGCGCCAGTCGGGGACTGAATATCGTACACACGACCAGCGGTCGACCCACTCTTGGGGCGGCCGCCACCGCCCGCTGCCGTGGAGGAGACCGTGCAGTCGCAGTCGCAGCAGCGGCAGCATCGGAACTCGGATCGGAGCCGGTTCGGCTCGCCTCGCCTCGGTTTGGTTTGGGTCGGGTCGGGTCCGAAGATCGCCGCGCACACGAAGAAAGAGTGCGAGTGGGAGTGAGTGAGTGGGTGGGTGGGTGGGTAGGTGGGTGGTTGGCGGTGGCCAGAAGAAAGTATGAATTCGGTCAGCATCCAAGCACTGGCCAAACGAGGCAGCCCAAGCAAATGGGTGGCCTACACTGATATGAAGATGGGGCTACAATCATCTGACAAATTTCAATCAAAGAGATTCAATGTTGCTTAGTAGATCGATACTTGAGATACTTGGAAATTACTTTATAGCAGACAATCCTTGAGAAATCCCCAGAGATCAAGAGCCTGTAAACCTGTTTTAACGCAATGCAACAGTTACATTATAGCCAATGTCTACTTCAGCTTTGATTTTTGATGGCTCGTTTAGCCAGTGCTTAGCTTTACTGCTGCTGCTGCTGCTGTTGCTGTTGTTGGTGACTGAGTGCGGTATGCGCCAAAGAGACCTCTCAGACAGCGTCTCCCTCTTACTTCCTTCCCACCCATCCATGCTTGTGTGTGTGTGTGTCTGTGTGTCTGTTGGGGGTAAAATTGGTAGGAAAAGTCGTCAGTTTTTTGCATCGCTCCGCTCCCAATGCAGGAGTCACTCTGTGCGAGCATGTACATACACATACGCACGTATGGTAAATATGTGTGCGACAACAACTTGTTGGCCCCAAACGTTCTGTCTGTCAGCGAGTCTGATCTGTGGGCCCTGCCCCCAACGCCTGTCCCCGCCCTGGCCCAACCATTAAACGCCCCCGCATAACTACGAAAATAGCCAAATTGTTAATTTCGCTTCGAAAACTCTTTTCCAATGCACACACACACACACACACACACACACGCGCACACCCATACCAAAACGCCGAGGATGGCGCTGCTGGTGGGTGGGACGGGCTGAGGGGGGAGACTGTTCAACACATGATTTTATTGGCATGCTTTCATGGTTTTTCCGTGCGAAACATTTTATTTTTCATTTCAAATATTTCAATATGTAAAATATCGTACGTATGCATATGTACATATATTTATGCATATGTATATGCTTTACTGTGTATATTGTATTTGTGGAATATTTATGAAATTTATTAAATATGCTTGCGATGCCACAAAGGAAAGCATCTTAAAATCAAGGATAGCGAGCGATTAGCTAAACCAATAAAAACCACCCACAATAAGTGTGGACAGCGCGTCCCACCCATCTCCCTCTGCAGCCAATGAGCTTTCAGAAGCTTTTTTCGCTCTCGATCTCTCACTGTCTCGCTCTCTCTCTCTCACTCTCTATATTGATTTCTTTTTCCAAGCAAAAAGGATCACACTCAGCAACTTTCAGGAGAGTTTTGTAAATTTTGAGATCTTTAAATCCGAACAGGATCGGAACAGAGTACCAGATCAGTCGTATTGTCCCGATACATATCCGTGCAGAGGACAGAAGAGATATAGACGGAGCGATTGGCTGCTGCCTACAGCCTATTTTTGGAACATAATGTGCGTCGTCAGCGGAGAAATTTCTTCTTTTTTCGAAAACAATATCTATTATTAGGCGCTGCTTGTGCGTTAATACCATATTTTTGTAACTACATACTAACATACATTCGCTATGTGCGGACGTCCGTACGTCCGCTGTCCCTCTGTCCGTCCGTACGTCCGCTGGTTGTCTGTGGCATGGAGAGGGGGTAGGCCGAAGCAAGAGACATAAATTTTATAAAAATTGACCAAATGCCATGGTAAAAGCGCAGGCGGCTGGGGCGGGAAGGACGTGGCCCACAAACCAAATCATTGGGTAATAGCACGCACCCATGGACATATTCATATTCATATTCGTATGTACGTATGTATGTACAGAAATGTGTGCACAGTGCGAGCCATAGCTGTAGGCGGTCTGGAATCAGGTGCCAAACTGATCGGAGCGATGGGTTCTAAGGATGGCCTATGCTTCTATCACAGTAATTTGGAGTTAAAAGTACGAGTAAGCCGTTGAAAACATACCATAGAACATATAAACACGAAAATCTAATGGTGAGCTATCGAAAAAAAACTCACCATCGAATTTCCCTTTTTGGTATCTAGATGTCTAGATATTATTGTACTTTAGTTCTCGAATCGCATAAGAGAATGTATGTACATATGAATAAAAAAAATCATTGAGATATAGGAGAAATCAGTCAATTGTTTAATCTACGTATATCGAACTGACAAAATACTTGCAACTGGTGTTTCTATAAGCTTAAAAGCCACTGAAATCAATAATTGACTGGAGATTTGGTATTAAAAAGGTATTTAGTTTTGGTTTAAGTTTTACTAAGTTTATTATAAGGTAGGGTTGATTTACTAAAAACCTTCCTATCATTCCAAAATTTTAACGATAAAATTTGTAATTTGAAAAAATGGCAGAAAACTTTAACTTTGGCTTGACTTATCTTTCGGTAATCAACATCAATTGAAAGCCATACATTTCTCTCCAAAACATTCCAACCCCAAGGTGTTTTAAATTTGTATTGCAAATTCAAAAGACGGATGATAGGATCTAATTCAAACAAGGGGATGCCAGAAATTACCATTCCAACTCAGTTGGAATTTGGTCTATGGCATAACCGATGTAAACATTGTTAAATGCTATAAACTGAGAAATGAATCGAATGTCCACCGCCTTAATCAAATATATAGGAAATTGGTTCAGCAAAATCTGACGATCCCACGGATGCACTGCCCTCCGACTGTCCTACAGTTTTGCCAAGCACTGTACAAATGAACATGTCCAACGACTGGATTAATCGACGATCCGATCCGTGTCGGAGCGGCAGAGAAACGACAAGCCTTATGTTATGCAGGAGTTATATTTTATACAATACATAGATATATATCTGGTTGGATTCGTTTTTGTGGTTGTTCTGCGTCTCGCATGAAATCGGTAACTCTGGTTACAATTATGATAAAAAGTAATTACAATTGGTTCAAGAACGGGCATACGGGACACGTACCTTCATGCATACGGCGTACCTGTACGTGGCTAAATAGATAATCGATGCACACATCTGTACATCCATATATACGTCTCTGTACATCATAATTATGTCTAGATCTATATATTTTTGTAGCTTTAGTTTAGGTTAACTTTTAATTTGATTTTGTGTGTGTTCGCTTTTCGCCTTTGTGTGTGGGTGTGTGTGTGTTCTTCTAAAGTTTTGGGATTGGTTTTTCGTTTACTTGGCCATAAACGTTGCGGAGACATATAATCATCTTAAGGAAAACATTTTCTATCTCAATAATAATAATAATAATGTTAATATAAAAAAAAAACAATTACATACACATTTTGCGTAATATTAAGAGGGGAGGGAGGGAGGGAGGATTGGATCGAAGGTAACAGGAGGATCAGGACCAGGAGGGAGAAATGCAAACAACGCAATCACAATGAAACATTCGATGGGCAGCACGCCGCTCATTCGGGCTTCAGCGTGAGGCCGGGAGGGGGCTGCGACTCGAGCTGCTCGATAAAGAGCTCCTCCAGTGGCCGATCGCTGATGATGCGGAAGAAAAAGAGATGATCGAGACACTTCAGACTGATGGAGCGCAGCGCGGGCAGGCGCAGCAGAAGCTGGGCAAAGCGGCCATCGTCGCCGGGATGCTCGACGCGGCAGTGCTCGTCCAGGCAGGCGTAGACCTTCTCACGGCAAATCTCGATCTCGGCGCGGTTCTTAATGCCGCGCATGTCCGGGTTGTACAGGATGATGGCCTTGAGGCAAGCCAGCTCGCGGCGGTCAAGGTTGAGGCGCTTCATCTTTACGCTCAGCTCGGAGAGGATGCGATCGAAGATAGTGGAGACGCCCGCCTTGATGGCGCTGTTGCGATGGTAGGAGAAGCTCTGGTTGAGAAACAGCTGTTGCGGTTGCAGCACCGGCGATCGCCGTTCGAAGGCGCTGTCGTGGCCCATGCCGGTGGCCATGGCATCGTCCAGCGACACAATACTGCACCAGGCCACGTTGGCGATCAACAGCTCGTTCCAAGCAGCCTTCAGCAGGATCACCTGGTCATCCAGCGGCAGCTGTGCAAAGTGCGGCATGAGGCGAGCGTACTCCACCATCTGGTAGAGCTGTTTGTTCACCACCTGGCACAGGGCCGACACGGCCCCCTTGTAGTCCGGCTGCACGGTCGAGTTGGGGCCCACCCGCAGGAAGGCCAGAGCCCGATCGCCGCTTTGTGCTTCCGCCCGCTGCTCGGCATCCAGTAGCCGCTCAATGGTGAAGTCTCGGGAGACGTTGTTGGCCATGAACTCGTCCGCTCCGTTGCCGCCCACACTGCCGCCGCTTCCTCCGCCACCGCCACTGCCAGAGCCGACGCTGCCACCACCGACAGATCCGCCACCAGCACTTAGCCTGCCCGCTGCACTGCGGGCGCCGCGCTGCCGCTCCTCTTGCACAGCCTCGCGCTTCATGCCGCAGGATAGACACTTCTGGTAGCGGCAGTACTGGCAGCGGTTCCGCTGGCGCTTATCGATGATGCAGTTGCGGTTCTCGCGGCATGCGTATGTGAGATCCTTTCGCACCGTGCGCTTGAAGAAGCCTTTGCAGCCCTCACAGCTGTAGACGCCGTAGTGCTTTCCACTGGCCCGGTCGCCACAGATGGAGCACAGGTGCTTAGAGCCGCTTAGCGGGTGGTTCGGCGGATACTGCTGTTGGGCTGAGGCCCCGCCCGCGGACGCCTGTGCCATTTGGCCCTGATTTTCGCTGCTGTTGCCCGATGGCATCACGTGCACCATGGACATGTTCTGCAAAAAGGGGCCTGGGCTCTCCGCTTTGGGCGAAAAGCTGCTGTTATTGCTGTCATTCAGCTGCGAGATGTCCGGCTTGACCTCCTCCTTGATGTGGCCCAGCCGGAAGCCTGCGTCCTGGTCGCAATTGTCCATTCCGACAGCTTTCTGTTCTTCCCTCTGTTTACAGTTCGGTTCTCAGAGATTCTCCTCCTACTTTTGTGTTTGTCGTGTGCGTGTTTTGGGTGCTGCTGACGCTGACTTTCCCCTCTCTGCTCTCTGCTGCGCTGGTTTCACTTTGTGTCGTCAACGCCAACGCCAACGCCACCGTGTCTGTGTGATTGGCTAGGTAGAGCAGCTCTGGTCTGGTGTTGCAGTCGCCGTTCCAGGTGATGCATTTACATAATCTCGCTCGTGTCGCACTCCGTACGCCAAATCCCGCTTTTGCAGACTCCAATTGCGATTTTCCAACAACAAAGAACGCCAGACTTTCTGACTAATGGATTAAAACCTTTTTTCGCGTCGACATTTTTTCTCAACAAAGACAATCTCACCACTCGGCCACAACTCACCTCATGGAGATGAGCAGTGTTTTGCGCAAACCTGTGACACAGATCACGAAATATTCTTTTTAGTCACGAGTCGCGGCTTGGCTGCAACTCAAGGTGGAACCACATTTAATGAAAATGCCCACAATTAATATTTAAATACACATATATTTACACAACGAATTTTACAGCATTAAATGGTGCATGTATTTATGTTTCCCTTGGGCAGGCCATACCCAGAACTGCACTGTGATTCGGCATTCACATTACTGCGCATCTCTGTTTAAACAAACACTGTTGTCAGAGTTGTTGCACCGCACGAAAAAGCACAAATACGTATATCTGGTGGGTGTCAAGTATTTGCTCCTTAATATTGAAGTTTATATCGATTGTGAGGAATAATTGTTACACTTGTCATTCGGACAAGACCTTGACATTCGCGCCTGATTGTCAGGCAGATCGAGGGAGATGACAGCCCTAGCAGCACAGCGCCATTGCCGTTCTCACCACGCACCTACAACAAAAGCAACTCTGCGTCTGTCTGGTATGCCACTGTTGCAAATAAAAATTTTGCTGCAATTATGTGGAAATGCATATGAATGGAGAATGGGCAAATTTCTCCGGTCCGGTCCCGCCTCAGCCTCAGCCTCGACCCCAATACCGAGACGCGGCGAGACGTATCGGCGCAAGCGACACACAAATAATAGACCAGCAATGCCAACTGCCACTGCCATCGGAATTAGAGCCGACAACGAGACTCAAAAGTATTAACTATGGAATATATGTATATGCGAATCCAACTTACTTGCAGCCAGGGCCGCTTGATTTCTTGCAAAACGACGCGCACTTATGTTTAAATACTTATCGGGGCTATCACAATCGGAGAACGCACACATACACTTGCAGAATTAATTTGTTGCAATTTTTGTAATTGTAATTGAGTCCATCATGATACAAAGAGACGCGGTAATATGCTATTCACACAGAACGCCAAGAAGAAGCACGTAAAGTGACGATTTTTGCAAAAGAACAGCTGATTGTGCACTCGCTGCAGTCGGCAAGCATTTGGGGTGCACAGAGTGTTTCCCCGCTGACATCCCACATACAGTGACTGTCTGCTCAAAGTTCAGCCACAAAACGTGTTAAAATTGCTTAAAATGCAGGGTATTGAAAAATAAACTAAAGTGAATTTTCAGGCAGTTCAAAGTGCGCGCCCAGGCCAAGTGCCAGGGCGAATGGCAAACAACAGTGTTGCACATGAGCGGCTAAACTGGTTCGGTTCCCAGCTGTTGCTTCCGTTTGCATTGAAGTGATTATACATTTATATATTTACCATCTGTGCCAAATCAGTTTGGCTCCTCAAAGGCGATGTTTTTGCTCGGCATACGAGTGCAGAGGTGTCGCCCAGCGAAAATGCAGATAAGCGAATGTTAACATCAAAGTTTCTTTAATCAGAATCGCTCGACATTTCCAGCTTCGCCTTCAGCTGTGAATTGCGCAGCATTAGGGTCTCAATGCGCTCATTTAAGTACTCTATCTCCTCCCGATACACCCCCGTCTCGTACAGCAGATTCTCGTACTCCCGCATTATTCCGGAATATTCGGTGCCACTCTCGACACTCTCGATTCCGCTGTCTGCACTCCCGCTTTGACCTTGGCTCTGATTCTGGCTGGGTGGCGGCTCTTCAAAGTCCAAGTAAAGCTGCAAGTACACAGTGTCGTCGCTGCGGCAAATGGGGCACGTTCTTGACCTGGAATGAATTAAGTGATGAGTGGCAAACCGTACTACACACCAAAGAGCTTACTCCACTGGGACTCCACTTACTCCACACGCCAGCGTTCCAGGCACTCCTCGTGGAATACGTGACCGCAGCTCCCTGCCAGGATCTGGTCCGTCATCCGATACCGCTCCGAGCAGATCGCGCAGATCACATTGTGCACGCTCATTCCGGCTATGGCTATGTCTCTGGCTCTGCCTCCGCCTAAATCTAAGCCGACTGCCTGTTCGCTCTGGCTGCAGCAGCTTACTGAGTGCAGCTAGCGGATGGATGATAAGCGTACAGGCGGCACACGCGTCAACGCCCTTTCCCCAACAGCCTCCAGCCCATTGGCTAGTCAGCCGGAGAGGAGAGGCTGCAAACTTTCTGCGCCGCCCCACAAAAGTGGTAATGATACATTGTCCGAACTGGGTCAGCAGATCCAACCAGAAGCAGGGCGTTCACCATCGATGGCTCTGCCCTTGGCTTAAACATAATCATCTTCAACCAGAACTAAACGTTTAAAGAATGTTGAAAAGCCTCAAAATTAGAATTGCAATGGCTCCTGGAAACTTTCGGAAATGTATCGTATAGGAACTGAAATAAATCATAAATAGCTGATGTACATAGTAGGTAGATATTAAGCGACAACTTTTAAGTTTCAACACATCTACGGGCAACACACGAGACTGATAGGCTTTAGCCTGGAGCGAGGAAACAAATTTACAAACGGAAACGGCTTAACGGAAAAGCAAGCGCATACTTGCAAGTGATACTCGAGTGATAAACAACATACGAGTCTCGGACTGCAAATTCAAGGGAATACAAAAGACAACAGATATGCAAGTATTTTTATCCCATGCGTAGAAATTGAAGAAGAGAGTCCCAGAGCGCAGGCCTGTAAGTGTTAAAGGATGTCTGAAAGAAATCTTAGTCGAATATGAATGGAAATACTTATGCATTTACATATCGTCCACCTTTTTGCAAAGTTATTGTTAGAAATTGACTTTTCGATGCAAATTGTTCTAAAATCCTTATTCTATCAACCATTAAAATATTATAGCACTTTTACCTGTTGTCGCTTATGATCAGTTCGCAAAAAGCAATCAGAAACTCTACCTTGGAAGGGGGGAGGACCTGCATATAATAAGACGTATTTTATTATTATCGGGGTCGAGGATTGAATTGAATTCTATTAGTATTTTTTATTATATTATAAATATGTATTTGTTTATATTGATATTCGATTACTTGTCCTTCTCTAAATGTCTGTTTGGGGTTTACATTTACAGAGGCCTACGCAGGAATGGAATGTTTCAATTTTGAACAAAGAGCACCTAAAACAAAAAGAGATATCTAAGATTAAAGCTATGTACATATACATATATGTAGATGTGTGTGTGGGTAGGTTTAAAAAAAAAGACTGCTAGTACTAAACGTGGGCCACGATAAATAGCTAAATGTATAACTACTGCTCTATATATGTATATTTATGTCTGCATATGTGTAAAATATTTAGTGCAATGTCTTTTTTGGGGGTTTAAAAGCTAATCGATAAGCCAAGCGCATACGGTACAACGATATTCGGATACCGATTGTGGAACACACGGTCTAAAATATTTTACAAATTACGACTTCTTATACCCTATTTATACTTGAGTTGAGTTATTGAGTTCTGGTTGCGTTCCAGTTTTTTTTTAGCCCTGTTCTGCCTATCTTGTGAACTATCACCACTAGCAACAACAAAAGCTGGAAGATTAAAAAGTATGGCTGAGGGAAATGGAGCAAATATACGTATAATACTTAAAACAAAATACTTTAAACTAATTTTACCATTAGATCAACCATTTGAATATTTTTTGGTTGACTATTACAGTTTTTGTGGGAAGCACAGCTATCAGCCTCAATAACTCAACTTAGCGCAAGTGTAAACACGGATTCGATAGGTAACAGTGTAGATGTCAGTGCAACTAGCCTATTTCGAACATATCTATGATAACTTTTTCAATACGGGCCGAATGGGCATGGCACAGTTTCTACGATAGATAGTGAAAATAGTGTATTGGGCGTACAATTAGGAAAGGGGGGATAACCAACAGTAAAACAATAAAACTGTGATAGACAGCAGAACACGTATTCCACACCCGATCTGTACCGACATACCGATGCATATGGGCGTGCAACGAAAGTAGCATAACAATTATGATGATATTTGGAATTAAAGCATTTCGTTAGTCTTTTGGGAATTTCTTCTTATCCATAAGCTTGCTGGGGAGTCCTTGGGAGTCCTTGACTCCTTGATCGTGACCCTCCCTAGCCGGAACTGGAATGTTGCGTTCGCTATAAGACTGGTTTCTCTTCGGGCTGTCGACGTTCATATAGATGGGCGTCTTCGGCGTTGTATTCAATGCGTTCATTGTCGTTTGTCTTGACGAAGATGGCGGCGGCGGCGGCGGCGGAGCCTGCATCTGTGGGGGAGAGCTCGCTGTTGGGGTAGGCGGCAGCTCCTCCTCCTCCAGGATGATGTCGTCCCCCACCATGGTGATGCGTCGTATCGCGGCCGAGCCGTTCCCCATCGAGCCAATCCCTGGCCGGTAGATTCCCCCGCCGCTGGAACTGGGACTGGGACTGGAACTGGGGTTGGCGCTGATCACACTGCTGTTGAAGCCGCTGTTTGTGTAGGAGTGATTGTTCTTCTTGAGCGGGAGTCGTTGGCTGCCGCTTCCGTTGCTGTGTGTCGCTGTCAACACCGACGGAGGTGGCGGCGGTGTAAGGGACGGACGAGCTCCCGCCGGTGGGATCTGGGGCAGTGGCTGTGGTAGTGGCAGATTCGATGATTTGCTGATCAGATCTGGTACCCGGGCCGTCAGCTCCAGGGCCTGAACCGGACCCTGTGTGGACGTGGACTGTGGCTGGGTTCCCGCCGCTGCCGTTGCCGTTGCTCCTGCCGACATCTGGGAGACAATAGTGCGGCTGTGGTTGTTGCTCAACCCGGTATCTTTCCATTTCTCTGAAACGATTTGAGACCGTGACTTAGTGGAGGCAGTTCCTGGGGCGGCAGAGGGCGTCAACCGGTACGTACCTGCGGCACTGCTGGCCCCGTTTCCCTTGCCGAAGGGCATCAGTAGGCGAGCGGCGGGCTGGCAAAAGACGACTGTCTTGTAGGCCTTGCGGTACTGCTTGTTCATGATCACGTAGATTATGGGATTGATGCAGGCGGACAGG